TGATTCATAGAATTAAAATAAAAAAATCTATCAATTTTAAATAGATAGTTATTGAGATACTTTCGTTCGAAGTTTGAAAATTTTCGTTATAGCTAGAATACTTGGACAATTGCTGTGTGATGATCGGCAGCATGCATAACCTGGCACAGAAAGTTGGGGTGCATTATAATCTATTCTAATTTTTATTCCAACTAGACTATCTTCCAGTCCATATCCATTTATTTACCTCATCTGTTACTGCATCGATTCTTTTTTTGAAGACCTTCCAATGGTTTTTTCCTTTCTTATTCTCCTTGGACCTTTTTTCTGTTGCATTCGATAGATTTTCAGGACTATCTGCATTTTTCTTTTTTGTACTTTTTTCTTTTCGAGGTCTTTTCTTCTTCTTTTTCTTGGAGTTAATTTGCAGCTCTTTTTCCTATTTTATAACTTCTTCGCAGCATTGGAGCCAAATTTCTTCTTGGAAAAAACTGTGCCACATGTCCCACTATTCGAGTACTATTAGTTCTGTTTCCTTTCTGGTAATCCCTGTTGACTTAAGAGAGACTGTTAGGTCTGTTTCGATTAGTCTTCTCACTAGATAATTTCTTTTTTTATGCCTGTCTTCAATACTTCTATTAGCGAATGCTGAGTAGATATTGTCTTGTGAGATTTTCTTTTTTACAAAGGCATCTAGGTTCCACCAGATTTCTTTTGCGATTGAATATTCTTTTTCTGACCAGTGGAATTCGTCAACTTCATATAATGTTAAATATTCGAAATTTTCTTTCTTTTTCTTGCATTTCCTGCAGATTGTTGTTGTGTATAGGTCTCCACAGTTTCTTTTTCGTAACTGTAATGTAGGTAAAAGACCACTTAGGCTTTTGAGTCTAAAGCACTATTTTTTGTTTAGTTTGAAAGATCTTGATTTTCCATTTTTTTCCCTATTCCACAGGTTTCTAAAGATTTTCCAATCCTGCTTTTCAACTCTCCTTTGATGTATATTGTCTTTCTGGCTTGAAGCAAATAACCAGTCGACTTTATGGAAAGTTTGCATGAACATTTTGATAAAGCTTCGGATTAGGGTATCGATTGGGTGCTTGTTCTAGGTTGGTCTAAGTGTTATTCCCTGTGTTTTATTTATCGTAATAAAGGTTAATTCTCTTTCTTGTGTGCTTTTTTTTGCAGCTTTATCTGCTAAATCATTTAGCCAATTGCCTGTATGTGCTTTTATTTTGTAAAGTTGAATCATTAGCTTTTTAGTGTCTAGAATCTTGACTATTGTACCCAGAATACACAGATTTTTCATTTTGCACTAGCTTCTAATACTTTTAGCTTTCTGACTTCTTTTAATTACTTGAATCGCTGCCTGGCTATCCATAAAAATATCTATCTTACTATTGATTGGAGATATCAGAGTTGCTATAAGAATCACTATTAGTTCAGATCTGGTTGAAGAAAACTACCCTTGGATTCTACCTTTAAGTTCTCTAACTATTGTCCCTTTACTATTAAGCTGAATAACTCCATACCCTGCTGTGTGATTTGCTACTCCTCCTCCTATGAGTGAGCTATCTGTGTAATATATTATTTCTCTATATACTATATTCTCTTTTGATGCCTAAGTAAGTTCCTGTTGTTTGCTTATATTTTCTATCATATTCTCAATCAGGTAGGTTTCCTAGCTTTCAGGTATAATTATATTAGCTATTTTTGTTTCCTCTCTTTTTTCTAGGTTTATTTCCGCCAGTATTATTAGGTTTTTAAGATGCTTAAGGCTGATTGATGAGGCTCAGCCTCCCTCGCTTCTTCTTTTGATCCAAGGGCTTACATCTTTTATTTCACTCTCATCTATTTTTATGGTCTTGTTAGTGGAAGTTAAATATATTGTAAAGAAGTTGTTAGGCAATTCATTCTCTTTATTCTCCTCTTCCTATTCTATTATATGTAACTTTTGATTAAGAGGTTTTTTTTGTATCTTGCCTAAGAATAGTGTCTTGTTCTTCTTCTTTGATCCGATTACCCATTCTTTTTTGGATCTTTTGTGGAATAGCTTTCTTTTTCTTGGTTTTATTTAAACCTCATTAAAAACTTTTCCTTGAATAAAGACTCTCTTTAGCCTACGAGAAAATCTGTTTTCCAGCACTGCCTCTTCTAGGTTTTAAAACCATTGAGGAGTTTTTCTCATTGTTTTAATTCTCCGGATCATTTTAATTTGTTGCCATATAAATATGGTATTGTCTTGCTTTGTAGTTATTTGTTCTAAACACCAAAGGTTGAAGTTTTGTAGATGGTATACACCTCTTTTTAGCTTCTCTTTAGGTAGTAGCATTCTTATTTTATTTACTGGATTGTTGCCTAGAGCTATGTTCCAGTTCTATACTTTGGATGCTAATTCCTATATCTTTGGCTACTACTAGTATACTCGTATTGAGATTATTTTTTAGGCTTAATTTTTTGATTTTTTCATTTTCTATAAGCCAAATTGGTGCTGTCAAACGAAGTGCAAGCTGTGTGTCTTTTAATCTCATTCTAGTAAAGTCACCTATAAGGTTTGGGTTGTTTATTCTAACTATCTATTCAGTAATCATATGTTCTGTATGTTATTGCCACAGAGAGTTTATTTTCCAAATATCTTTCTGTATCGGTACCAAGTTGGAAGCAGTTGAGGCCAGTTCTGCTTTCCACTTTGCTATTCTTATTATTAGTTGATGAAGTTTGTCACATTCTTCTTTAGAGAGTATGATCATATTCAACCTGTATTTGGCTCTTGATAGTAGCACTATGTTGTTTATATATTTGGTCTGTTCTATAGAGATCTTCTTTCTGCTAAGTAGATTAGCCAATTGCTTGATTTCAATACCAAGTTTCTTCTTGATTGTAGGTTTTATATCTGCTGCGGTTAACCATACTCCAAGATAACGAGCTATATCTTTTTTTTTCTTTGCTACTATATTAAAGTTATATAATTAATACATATTAATTATGTATGGGCAATAAGATTTATACAGATTTGGCTATAACTTGTAATTATAACTATATTTAAAAAAAAATCATTAAAGAACTTTATCACATTATATCATAATTGCATATTAATAATATATTAAAAATTAGAAATAGAAAGTTATATAGCTACACTCTCTATTATTGCAATGCTGGAGTCAATATTTTAAAACTAATAATATTAAGCCAAAATAAGTTGTTATGTATAGTTTAACTTATCTAATTGATATAGCTAAGTTTAAGCAAAATATAACTAAAATCAATAATAATAATACAATAAAAAGATTAGTTGTAAAAAATATGAAAATATCTTGCAAAAATAGCAGGATTTTACTAAAAATAGGCAGAAATAATTTATTTTTTTAGAGTTAGGCTGCCTTATTAATATTTAAACTTATACCTGCATTATTATATCCTGCCAAATTTAGCACATTAGTATTTTTCTAAAGATTTATTCATTTTATTTAAAATAGCAAAATATAAAATTTATTTTTAAAAATATTTTTGATATACTAATACAAACAAAAGTTTATTGTTAAAATTTATATAATTAAACTTCATGTTAAACTTTAGTTTTATTATATAATTGATAAATATTTTTTTTTTTAACTCTTAGACAGTTTCGCCAGTACTTTATTAAGATACTAAATATATCTAAAAATATATTTGTTTACTTCTAATTTGCAAGTCTAATATCACCTAGCTTTTTTTAAAGATCTGACTATCTTATAAACGCCCAAGTACAACCTACTACACTAATCTAAAATTTTGAGATTAGAAGGCTTATATTAAACTAGCCTAATTGCCACACCATAATGGCTTTCTTTTCTCTTTATATTCCATTAAATTGCAAAAAATTTACTAAAAGTAAAATAAGGAGAGGAGGTAAAACAAAAAGAACTAAAAACCAAGAAAATGAGTAATACAAAAAAAAATAATAATAATAATTGATCAAAAACAATGGATAAAAAAAACAAAAAAGAAAAAAAACTACATAATGAGCAAGAAGACTAGTCTAACATAAAAACCTAAACTAAAAAAAAAAACTAAAAGACTAGAAAATACTTTTATTAAAAAACTTCAGAGCTATTAAAGATATACTGTTATAGCCTGTATCAAGCTTAAAAAAAATTATATAACAAATGCAACATTTGTATATCTCTGTTGTAAAGCTTTGCCTTAACATATATTTCTCTTTCCGACTATTCTCAGATATTTTAGTCGAAGATCCCGATCCTGGTTATATAAAGTAGTGATATAATTGATATTACTATTAACCACTTTAGTTTTAGTATTAGTAATATTGATATTTATACTTTGATCTTACCAATTATACTTTGCCATTTTTAAATACTAAAAATATTATATAAAGGCATTTAACCAGTTGTTATTTTTTTATAGACATAATGTAATAACTAACATTATAGATTTTGACAATGATTTTGTAACTTCATTTGGTACAATTGGTGAAACTATAGATTCTGATGAAGTTGTAACTTCATCAAGTATTCTTGATATACAAAATAATTCAGAAGATGAGTTCATAGCCCTATCTAGTAATTTCGGTATATATTGAATAGGCTTTTTACGTTCTAAACAAGTCAAGAATACTAAATTACATTGATATAATACAAAGTGTTTATACTATAACAAGATATTTGAAGCACAAACAAAAACAATAATTAGTCATATAATGAATATATATCAAAAAATACAAACAGAAAAAAAAGTTTCTTATATATACAAAATTAAAAAAAAACTAAAGATATAATTGAGTCTTACCCAAATAAAAATACTGAAATATTTTCAAAAAAGCATAGAATTGATTTAACAGATTTTTTAATAAAGTTTCGATTTTACTTAAAAAAACTGATGAACTTTATATATTATTATTAAAGTTATTAATTTATAGTAATGTTCCATTTCGATTTGTTAAAAATCTATATTTTGCTCTATTTTTAAAAAAATTATATTCAAGTTATAATTTGCTGTCAAGATATATATTAATATATAGAATAATGCAAACAGAATATACAAGTATATTATTAATCATTTTGAGAAGCTTGATGATTTGACTTTTTTTTTTGATGGATAAACTGATATATCAGGAACTTCTATATATGCATATCTTTTAAATAAATTTAAAGATATTAGTGAAATTATTAATATCGAAGACTTTTCTATTAGTCGACAAATGGCAAATAATTTGTTAACAGCTTTTGAAGCTTCATTAAAAAATATTAATATAGATTTTGATCAAATTATTGTACTAGTTACAGATAGTCCTTCTGTTATAGTATGATTTCAAAAAAATGTTTCAGAAAAATATCAGCATATAATTGGTATTAGATGTTGTTTGTACATTTTTAACCTAATTTCAAAAAAAATTTTATCTTATTAGCCCTATAAAAATTTAATTAAAAAAAATTTAATGCTAGTAAATTTTTTTAAAAACTCAACTTATTGGAATACAAAGCTAAAACAATGGGCTATAGATAATAATATCAAACATAATCTGCAAACATATATTGGTATTCTTTTACAAAAGTTTGTTTTTCTGTTCAGAATTATAAGAGTTTTAAAGTTTGTCTTGAATTTAACAATCAATTTTCTAAGAAATATCTAATTATTTCAACAAAAATTAAGGAAATAATTACAAGGCGACATCATTTTTTAGACAATAAACAGTTAACAACAATTTTTAAATATGTAGTAGATACAATTAGAAGACTTGAATTATATAATACAACAGTTGGAGATATTTTTGCTAAATTATTTACAATTTATAAAAAATTAATAACAAGCAAATTTAATAATTTTGATTTAAAATTTATTAATTATACAAAAGACATTATTAATTTTAGAGCAAAAGAGTTTGATGGATCATTATATTATTTAGGGTTTTTTTTATACCCAAAATATCGCAAAATAGCCATATCTAAAAAGTTATTTATTAATGATATATTAATTTATACTTTAACATTTGCTTAAAAATGGAATTTTACTAGAGAGCAAGCAGAACAAATTTCAAACTAATTAGGCAACTATTTTTAATAATGAATTACTCTTTAACTCAATTATAGTATTAGAACCACGTTTATATTAGAAACATCTTCTATATTAAGCTAGGGCTTTAAAATTCTTAGCACTTAAAATATTTGCAATTTGCTCTCATGCTGCTAGAATTGAATAGCTTTTTTTATCTATAAATTTAACTAAAACAAAATCACAAAACCAACTATCTATTCCAACATTAAAAATGATTTCACAAATAAAATATGGTTTAACAAAAAATATTAATAAAAAAGGCCAGAATAATCAGACATTAAACAGCAATAGTAATAGTAATACAACCTCTATAGAATTAAAAGACTATAATAAGATATTTTCTTCAATTTTTAATACTGATGATATTTGAGTTAGAAACTAATGAACTTGAAGAAATTTATGCAGAAGTCGAAGAAAATTTATCAAATTCGTTTTTGGAACAACTTTTTAATTTTAATATTGAGGAATTAATATTAGAATCAAATGAAGCAAATATGAATACTAATCAAACTAGAATTACAAGTCATTGAACTTTAGATAAGATTTTAAACAAAAATAATACTTAGTAAAAAATTACTATACAAATATTATTTTTTTCTTTTTTGGTAATTCATAATTATGAAGTAAGTAAAAAGCAGATATGTAATATAAGTAAAATTTATACCTTATATATTATCTTTAAACAGTGTCAATTATTAATTGGTATATTAATTAATTTTAATTGCCAATTAAAAGTTAACTTAGACCAGTTTTTAATATTTGTTTAACAAATTTTTTTTATAGCAACTTAATTATGATTTATAGTAACTTAAATATGATTTATAGTGGTATAATTATAATTTATAACAACTTAATTATGATTTATAGAGACTTAATTATAATTTATAGCGATTTTATTATAAGTTAAATATTCTTAATATGTATGTTAAAATATGTTTTCTTATAAATTAAGAGTTCTTTAATATTATGAAATTAGAGTTGGTATCTAGTTATTAAGTATTTAAATATAGTATATAGTTAATTGTTAAGCACGTAAGAATTGTAATAATAATTGATTAGTAAATTGATATAAACTCAAATATATATAAAAAGCATATCATTGATCGATTCGATTCATAAATCCAATTATTCTAATATTGTCTCTTAATATAACTAAAAATTTAACATAATGTTAAATACAAAATTACAAATCGGTATGACTTTTACTAATAGGAAAAATATTTATTAGGTCTTGAACATTTATTCTGTCTAATAATCTTTGCTTTATAAGTTTAAAACCAATAAACTAAGCAAGTTACTCTCACGAATAAAAACAGTTTATATTTATTTACTTTTTCAGTTAACAAGTGCTAATATAAGATAATATAGTAAATTGAAAATTATACCAAGCCTTTTTTTTTTTTTTTTGGTGCACTATATGGTATACAATATATTAATAGCATGTCATTGGCATACCATTAAAAAATAATTGCACCAACTACCCTAGCCACAATGCTATGTATTTTTCTAGTATATACTAGAGAACAGTTTTAAAAAACTGTTATAAGTCTGGAGCAAATAAATTTAATCATGTATTAAAAATATAACTTTAGTCTGTGTGCGAACAGACATCCTTTTCAAAGTTATGTTTTTAATTTTTATCACTATAATGCATCAACATTATAACTTGTATGTATCAAAAACATAACTTTTAATGTATTATTATATGTTCTTTACTATGCTCCGGACAATAACAAGTCATATATCTGTCTATATACTATGAGCTTGTTTATATATATTTTTTTATTCTGGTTGTATTATTCTAAAATGCTAAACTTTTAATTTCTGTTTTATTGTTTAACAATTTTTCTTTGTTTTAGTAAGCTTCTACTTTATTAGATATATATAGCCCTCTCCAAAGCCAGTTATTTAACAATTACAAGTTTTAAAATAATTATAATGTAAACTATATAATTGGTTATTTTAGAGCTTACAATTATCAAATAATTGATTAGTTTGGAACTTGTAATTGTTAAATAACTAACTCTGGAGAGGGCTATATATATACCTAATAAATAAAAGCTCTCTTAGTATAATATTAAAATTTTTTTTTAATTTTAAAGTGACTATTTAGATTTATTAGTACAATCAAGTAGGCTATTGTTTAGAAGACTAGCTATGCATATTATATTAGTATTATAAAAGTATAACTAGTCATATATACAACTTTTGGTTCTATTTAAACTTTATCAACTTTACATATTTCCTCTTAATATATCTCTATATAGAGAGTTTAAGATCTTAAAACTTTAGCCAATCTATTTTCAGAAAGTATTTATTTTTGTAGTAAATTTAACAAAATAGTGTATATTTTATACATATATTCACCTGCATGTTCAATAACTTCTTTCTAACTAGTACCTATCATGCTACTATCAAGTTTATATCTTAAACCAACTTTTGAAGTACTGCTATAACCTGATCTATATCTTAAACTACAATCTTTCTAATTGGTTGCTTATTATTTAATTTTGCTCTTGTAAGGTTTACAACAATCTGGTATTTATATTCTAACTATTTTCTTATCTGAATTCTTTATTGGTCTCTTTTTTATTTCTAGCCAACAATCTGGAAAAGTCAGTTTGCCTAGGCTTTAGATGCTTTATAGTTGCTCTTCTTTTAGTTTATACTTTTAAAGCATATGGCTTTTTTCTCTGTTATGCCTAGTACCCAATAGTTCAGCTAGTATGTTTTCTTACTTAAGGGCCTAATTGTTTAGTTTTCCAATTCCAGGTCTTAGTTCAAATTTAGCCTTTCTGTAATATTATTGAAAATTACTGCTATATCCTACTCGAAACTTCCCAAATAGGCTTTAATTCTAGTTCTGTAGTTAATGCAGTACTATAGTACTACCTATAGATTATAGCTTTAAACTAGAATTATATATATATAGTCATCCAGTAGCCAACAAATAAGGATCATTAGCAGATATATAGAGGAGTCAATAGAAATAGGACAAATTTATTAGTTAGATTTGTCTCATTTCTATTAACTCCCTCATATTCCTTTTTTTCTGAAAATGTTGTCTCTGGGATTCAAATATAAGATTTATACCTTTACTGTTTGGAGAGAATAATAACTAGACCACTTCACTAAACCACTACATCTTTAGTGTATTAATACAATATAATTTTGATTTAATAGTTTTTGTTAGAATTTTGGTTTAATTTTAAGTAGTTGGTTTTTGATTAATTTTGAAATTTATGTTGTAATACTAAATATATATATAGTAATAAAAAAAATTTTTTTTTTTGGTAACTATATACTAAAATTTTATTAAGCATATATTGCTTAAAATTAAGCTATTTAAAAGTTACATTAAACTAAAACCTGGCTATTTTTTAAAGATATCCAAGTTTGGTTATTGCACTACTATTGGCTATTATATATATACAATAAGATATATTTAAAGATATAATTTAGCTTAAGCTCAACTCCTACTTTATTAAAATCACTTTTTCTCTTCAAATTCTTCTTTTATTTTTAAGAAGTACAAGATAAAAGAGTAAAGTTTAAACAAAAAGATTATAAAAATAACTAAAAAAAAGAAAAAACAAAAACAAAAAAAAGAAATGCAGATTTTGAAAAAAAATATAAAAAAAATCTAAGGCCTTAAAGACACTATTATAACCTGTATATAGCTAATAAAAATTATATGCAAAATGCAATATTTGTATATTTTTTCTATAAAGATACATCTTAATATTAAGTTTACTTTTTATTTTTTCATCAAATCTGGATAGTTTTGTTGTTTGTCCTAATTTATATCTCAAGCCAGGTACTGCTATTGTCCAAAGATCTGTCTTCAAGCTATCTGCTGCTATAATTAAAATTTTCAAATTGAGTCTTATGAAGTAGTATTATATTTGTCTATAAACAAACATGTGGTTGTATTATGCTAATTTGTTTGAATTTGAGAAGTAAACAATGCCAATTTTTGGAGAAAATAAGCCAAATTTCTATTTTTTGTCAAGCAAGATAAGAGTAATTATTTTTAATATTACAGATTTGACTACCAATTTTGAACAAATAAACTATCAAATTTAGACATAATAACAAACAAATTTAAACATAATAACAATCAATTTTAGACATTATAGCAATCAAATTTAGATATCAAAGCAATCAAATTTGAACATTGTAACTATCAAATTTAAACATTATAACAATCAAATACAGACAATATAACTATCAAATTTAAACATTATAGCAATCAAATTCAGACAATATAACTATCAAATTTAAACATTACAGTGATTGAATTTAAATATATATATTTTTTAAAATTTTAGCAGTCTTGCTTCTACTTTATTAGGCTTTATAATATTATATTATGAAATATTAAAATCTTCAAGAAACTATTCCTCTTGATATCTAAATTACAAGTATTAGCTTATCTAATTATTCAATGAATATCTATATACTGTATGATCTGCTATAATAAGTTTTACCTTCGTATTAACTTGTCTTGCACTTGGATTCATTAATACTTTGACAAAAGGTTCTTACAGCTAGTGATCCAAATTGTTAGTTGAAAAACCAACTAGTTAATAACTAGTTAACTAATCAATTGGAAATTTTTTAACTAACTAATCATTGATTAATTATCTATATAATAAATTTAAAGCATGTAATTTTTTAGCCAATCAGAATAGTTTGAAATGATACAGAAAACACGTGATTATTTATTATACCAATTAAATTTATTAAAAACATATAACTATTAGTTGCAACTAATCGACAACTAAGTTGACAACTAATCAATTGAAAAAATTTTAATCAACTCAGAATACTACTTACAGCCTATCAAGACTACTAATTGCTTTTCTACCACTCTGCATGTTGACTGTTTATAATTTAACTTGATACTTCATTTCTCACTATTTCTAATATTGTAGTCTATTTTTTACTTTTTTTTTTTTTTTTTTCACTTTTCTGTTTAAATGATTTGTCAAATATGGGTTTTTTCCTGTCTTTGGCTTTTTTTTTTTTTTTTTTCTTTCTCACTTAGTTTTTGAAATAATATTCTTTTTTTTTTGAACACTATGCTATTTTCTTTCTCTCATTTTTGTATGAGTTTTATCTAGGAATCTATATTGTCTTATATATTCTCTTTATCTAATTCTTCCAGAGCCAAATTATAAAATTTTTTGCTTGGTTGTTAGAGTCAAAAAAAGGTCAAATCTTTTTAATGTTACTATTTGTAATAAGATCTCTGATTCATCTTTCTCTTTTTTTCAGCTTTTTTGACATACTTTCTTTTCTGACATCACTAAAATGCTTTCTTTTTCTTTGCTTGTATCATTTCTTTTTCTAGCTCTTTTAGAATTAGCTTCACTTCTTGTTCTTTTATATCATACAATAATCCAAGTAAAACTTTGCAACTAACTAGATGTTTAACATTCTCAGTTTTCTTTTTACATACTACACATTTGTCCGTTTTGTAAATATCTAGTTTTCTCTGACTTAGTCTTTTAAAAACTAGTAATAA